TTTAATCAGTCATTTTTAAAAAAAATTAACATTATATGCCAAGACATGCGGCTGTAAAATGTCTGGACCCACTGGATTGTGTTATAAGTATGGGTCCGTAAAATTTATGGACCCCCACATGCGCAGTATCCTGTGAGATTTCTGGACTCCCTTCACACGTCCCCGGAAGTCCTGAAATCTCACGGGTCCGTAGAAGTGATAGAACATTGGCTCTCACACAGTGCAGGGATCATGTAGCATCCCCTCCTCTCCCCTCATCCATCCACAAAAAGCCTTGTATTCTTTTCACAGAATGGAAAGTGTTCTGTGAATGAACAAAAGGAAAGGAAGGGAGAGAAGGGGCAGATAAATGACAGAACCTCACCTCAACCTATTCAGCGTTTCAGTGTACGGTAGGGATTACAGGATCCCAGAATGTATCATAAGCAGAAGATAAGTGGACAGGACAGTTTAAAGCTGAAAAAAATGCAGCTCAGCAAAAGTTAAAAAAAATTAGCTTTTGCTGCAATACTTGCCTTCAATCTGAGAGCTTTCCTGTACAGTACTCCGCCATTATATGCTGCAACCCTTGTGGGTTGGATGACGACCATCATCATTCAATCCACTTCCTCTGAGCCCTGGTTGTCATGGACCCATCCTGGGGGGGAACTATCCTGCCTAGATTTAGAAGATTGGCGCTCAAGAATTTTTATGCAAGGGCCTTTCAGTGCAGGAGGAAGGATCACCCACTGCAAACAACCAGATGAAAAGACTTGTCACCTCACTGGTGTGGCCAGAAGAATCCTTGGGAAAAGTAAGCATACTTGTATTTTTTAAGGAGTGGCAGTGACTCGGGGAAGGGGGTGGCTTCAGATTGTCCTGTAGCTTTAAGTCAATGCATGTTGCTGCAAACCATACAATTCCAATATATAGGGGATTATTCACAAAAGGGTGAAGAGTCTGGAGAAGGCAGGAGAAGTGAACAATCTAGGTCAACATAGCTGAACTGGAAAGTGAGCTGAACTGGAGAATTTTTCCAAATCAGCTATTTTGGCCTAGATTGTTCACTTCTCCTGCCTTCTCCAAACTCTTCACCCTTTTGTGAATAGCCCTGATAGTGTATCAAACAATGAATCCATGAATTTCTTTGTAGTATTTATTTTTATATCAAATATACTAACTTTATGATTCTTTTAGATGATGATGTTTACCTGGCTGATGAGTCAGAGCGAGAGGAATACGTACTAAGTGATAGCACTATCATATACTGTGGAAATTAGGATTACATTGGTAAACTGGGCTGGAACTTGGGGCAGGTAACCTCAGACTTTGTTTTTTTCATTATGAAACAAGCACCATAATCATGCTTGTAATCTTGATTTGTAAACACACACATTCTAGGAATTGATGGCGAAATTATTTCACAAGGACATAGACAAGAATTAAAACATATTTTTAGTAGCGTAAGGAAGGGTTGGAACATCTGGCAACTCCTTGATTGCAGCCTGTGAAATCCTGCTGTTCCAGTAATGCCAGCTCCTCCAATTTCTTGTATGGGTGTCACAGTGACAGGGCAGTGAAGGTGTTGTTACAGAGAAAATTAAAAACCTAACAAAAAATGTAACTGAAAACAAAAAGAATTGTCAGGAGTTCAGCTTTAAAGAGACATTGTCCCTTTGCCCATTTAATGCCACAGTGGGAAAGAATATACCCTGTTGAGGTGAAACCACTGCAAGATGGATTCCAATTTGTTTTTATGGGTTAGTGCTTTGTGATTTAACATTTTTACTTATTATTTATTACAGTGGTGGTCACCTATTTGATATAAGGGGCCTCAAATGTGACCAATGACATCACCAAAAGGGCCACACTTAGGAGTGTACTTATAAACAATTCCCAGAGCCATGCATCCTGGGAAACTCTATGAATGTTCTCTCTGTAAAAATGGTGGCAAAAACGAAGGCTCTTAGTATATTTTCTTTTTAGATCAAATTTATTATCAAGGATGGAGCTGAGAAGCATAACAAAATACTTTTACCACTGCCATTATAGTATACTTTCAAGTCAGTGCTCCCTACAGCCCTCTTAAAAAATGGCTGGCACCACATTTGATATTACTCTCAACAAGGTCAATTATAAAAAGGTCAGAAAAAATACACAAAAAGAGAACAGCTTGGAAAAATAAGGGAATGTGAAAAAAATAAACCAATTTATCTAGTAGAATCCAGTTTATTCCGTTAACACTGGGCATATGGATATTTGTGGGCCTTATGCTAAGCTGCCACATATATACCTTTGGCCATTGCAGCTCTGTTGTGCTGGCAGTGCCACCAACACTGTGACTTTGCTGTCACCGACAGCTCCCAGTTGCCTAGCAACAATTGGGATCCAGTAGAACGGGCTCCCAAACACATCAGCCAATCACAGTGATCACTTGGGTTGCCATTTGTCCAGGATTCACTCGGACAGTCCGGGTCTTGAATGCTGTGTCCAGGCTTCATGGCAGCTGAAACCCGGACAAAAGATGTCAGGCAGACAGGAGCAACCAAAATTAAGATAGGGGCTATTGGCCCCCCGCTGAAAAGAGTCTCGACTGTGATATTTACATATAAATGGGTGGCGCTATTTACATATGAATAAGCCGCAACTCATTCTCCCCAAGAAAATTCTGTGCGTCGCTAAGGTGTTCAGGTTCTGCTGGAAGAAAAGGTGGCAACCCTAGTGATCACATGACATCACATGTAATGCTTCCAGTATTATAATCAATAAAAGGGTAAAGGGTAAGGGTCATATTATTGAATATGTACCTAACTGTCCCTAAATAAGCACCTAGTCAAGAAAAAAACACTGACTACTGGAGCCCAAGGGCCACACAGTAAGTATCAAAGGGCTGCATACAGCCATTGGGCCTCCAGTTAGGCACTGTGGATTTATTAGTGTATGGCATGTATCTAAATTCAAGTACAAAATACATATATTCCAGTCCTTAGATGTGGTGGTGGCTGCATTCGTTTTCTTTTTTCCAGTTTTCTTTTTTCAACTTGGAGATCCGGCAATCATTATACTTCCTGTGCTAGGATTACAACAGGGGTGTCCCAAGGCCGGGTGTCACCCAGGAGCGGGGACTGGGGACGCCAGCAGAGAGAGGAGGGGACGTTCATCCGACTGGATGAGGTATGCCGCCGGGTCCCCTCCTCTCTACTGACTTTTTTAGAGAGGGTGACACCAAAATGACTGTCAGTCATTTTGGTGTCAGCCCTCCAATGGTGTCACCCGAGTGCAGGCCGCACCCCCTTTGTGACGCCACTGGATGACAACACTCACTCACTGTACTATATCGATGAAGGAGCATCGTTGTCACCATAGGACAGGAAGAATGTTGGTACTACATACCAGAGAGGTGTTCTGAAATCCTAACACATTTTCTGATACAATGTTTGAGATATCACTGCAGAGTGCACAGCACAGCACTGGATTTCTGGCAGGATCAACAGGCATTGTCCTCACTTATAGAACAGATACAACAAAAAACGTTCAATAGTATAATTAACAGACAAAGGGATATACATTAATAACCTTTTAAACTGGAAATGGCCTTGTAAGTCAACATGTGCTCTGCTGTATTATCCCTGGAATCATCAATCAAATAGAAATCTGCCGGAGGGAATGACAGCTCAAATCTGACAAATCTGATTTGTGGTGGTAAAGCAAAAAGACTGGTTAGTTTTGGCACCGCCTTGATACTGCCTTCAAAGCACAGTGTACAGGTATTGACATGTGGCTCTGTGATGCTTGGCACAGCTTAAAGGCATTTTTAAAGAGGCAGTCTAAGAGGCTGGTAGGTTATGCGCTGTGATGCAACCTAATTTCTGCTTTTTTCACAACAATGACAAATTCTCCAGAACTGCCGGACTAATCTTACTCATAGCTTCTGAAATATTTAAAGAAGAACTCCAAAGCAAAAAACGTACCCTTGCCTCTGCATTGCAAGGGTTAAGTGCTCATTTTGTCTAGGGGACTCAATAAAGCAGATTTACTCATCCGATCCTCGGTCTTGTGGCTGTCAGCACTCACCTCTGTTCCCTTCCGCTCTGGCTTTGGAATGTCCCTCAGTGTCCTCACGTCTAAAGGTGCCCATACACCTACCGATTATCGTACGATAATCGGCAGGTGTATGGAAGGCGTGCAACCGTTTCTACTGTACGGTCGCATGTCTTTTGTCTTGCGAGCATGCTTGAAAACCTGCCGAAAATCTTAAGATTTTTGGCGGGTCAGTGGCGTGCTCGGAAGACAAATGCCGAATGGGCCGGTGTGCGCAGATGCACACTGCCCGCTCAGCATTGGAATCATCGGAAGCTCTCCCCTCAGCGGGGAGGGCTTGCGATGATCGCAAGTACGATCAGCCTGTCCAAGATGTGCAGATCGTATGAGATTTTAATTGCCTTACAACCATCGCACAACGAAAGTCGTGCGATGGTTGTAAGTTGTATGGCCAGCTTAATGCTGGTCAAAGGACCACAAGACGTGATGACATTAGTGGTCCTCAGACCGCCAGAGCCTGGGTGAGTAGAGGTTACGGGAACCGGTCTAGCAACCCGAAAGGAGCCAGTGGGACAAAGGATCAGGTAATTAAAACAGCTTTAATGATGACCCCCTAGACAAAACGAGCACCTAACCCTTGCAGTGTGGGGGTAGCCCCACTGTAAGGGGGTCACAAATCTTCTTTAAAGATTTGTGACATTTACTTCGATACAAACATACAGAAATGTATTCATATTGCCAAGCCTGTTTCAGCTGGTAACAACCACTTCCTGTGACCTCTGCCTGTCAGTCATTTTGGTGTCACCCTTACAATGGTGTCAGACAGGTGCGAGACGCACCCCCCTTGTGCAGCCACTGAATGGGGAGATGACTTAAGCTCTGTTACCCAGCTGTGGAAAAGTAAAATCAGATCGCTAGACTGACTGTGCCCTGTCTGGGCTATGTACATAGAGTCTCACCGTGTCAAACAGCATTATGGAAGTTCTTTGCGTTCAGATGGTCTCTATTTAATTTAAAGAGGGAAATGGTATGCCACGGCTCCATTTAAATAAGTTGTCTGTATGATTTTTAGCTTGAACTATAGAGTTCTGTAGACAAAAGGCTTTCAACTGAGCAGCAGGTAAACATGTAAAAAGCAGCCAAGAGCTATGTTTGGTGACTGGAAACAAATACATAAAGGGTCTATTTATAAAAGATCTGCAGAGGCATTCAGCCTCTATTCGTCCTGCTTCACTTCCCTTCGGTTGAGCCGAACAGCCTTTAGCACGTTCAGCTGAACCGAAAGGAAGAACTCATTCACCTGAGCCGATGCAACTTCTGGATCGACTGAGGCGAACGTTCGGCAGTTTTTTCTCTGCTGTATGCCCCTACTCCCAAAAAGATTTCCTGCAGCCGAAGGATTAGCCGAACGTTCGGCTAAATCCTTCGGCTCTTTAGTGATTAACCCCCTATATCTTCTTTAAAGGTGTAACGTCGAATGTATTCATGTAATATTGCCGAATGGAGCCACTAGAAGGTGCTGAGGAGCAGAGGAAATAGGTATTTGTTTCTATGCTCATCGACTACATCTAGGGGCCATAATGTGGTATTACATTACATTTGATCTCAATACATTGGTCTGGAAAATAAAAATACTTTAAGAATGTTGGTTTTTGCATTTGTTGGCACAGAACATTAACATGTACTGT